ATAGCTTAACACAATAAGTGTTTAGCCTCTGGTTCCAACTGTAATTGATAGAGTACAGTTCCATTCCCTCTGCTGCTGCTAAGTTGGGAATTGCAGCCACAGCAACTGACAGCTTTTTTTTCTCTGCGAGTCTGGAGCTGCTCTCTGGGAGTGATGTCCTCATCGGGATGGGAAGGGAAATGACGGCAGAAAAGCTCACCCTGGCCCGGTGCTACCGAGGGACTCCAGGGACCTCTGCCAGGGGAAACAGCTCCTTCAGGTGGGTGCTGGGAATGAGAGCAAACACCAGGAGGAGAAAGCTCGGGGAGGAAATTTCCAAAATCCTGCTGGTCTGGAGAAAACGGGCTTCGCAGAGAGCACGGAAGAGGGAGAGCAGTTATGCACTAGAATTTCTGACAATGGACACGCTTTCAAAAGTGCTGTAAAATTGTGTCATTTGCTGATGGAAATGGCTCCTGTCTCCCAGCCACAGGGGCTGAACTCTGGGTGTGCCCTGCTCTTCAGATAGTGGGGAGATACCGGGCTTGGATAAATGATGGGAATAGGGAAATAGGCACTAAAATGAATTTAATTTCAAATTGTCCCATTCAGGCCTGAGTTCTGACACGGGAAAAAATTCCGAGCAGCTTTGGGCTTAGGAGCCGACTGCAGAATTTAACACAGATGGAGACTAATTTTGGTGCCTCTTTAGTTGCAAAAGTACCTATTTTTGAATATATTTAATTAAGCAGGATTTAAAGGCTCCTCTTGTTTGTGAACACCTTGGCCTTTTTGTCATCTGTCAGCATCGTGATGTGCACTGTAAGTGAAGGGTTCTGAGGCATGAACTGTTTAGGTGGTTTTGATGTGCAGTTGCTTTTCTGGAGGATGTTGAAAGAAAACAGTGCTGCCATTTCTGCACTTTCATTCAGCACTGCTTCCTTGGAATCTGCTGCCATTGCCCCTGTTATAAAGGATACAAACAATCCTGCAACAGCCACAGCGCTCCTGGTTACATTTATAGAGATATCTTGCTGCTTTTTGCCACAGAAATACAGGGAGCAAGCCTTGCTGGTTATTTACTCTGCCCTCTGCACAAGCAGAATTTCACGTTCTAAATACAATTCTGGTTTAAATAACCTTTCCTACTAAGGTGCACGCTGCAGCTTTAAAGAACTCCCTGCTCACCATCTTCTGCTTGCTGCTCTATGAGGACTCTTCCAAAAACAAACCCGTGTTATTCTACAGCTCCAATAAACAGAATAAATGTGCCTGAGACCTGCCTCTGCTGTACTTCTCCCCAGCTTTGGTTGTTAGCTAGTCTGTAGGGGCTGAGAGAGAAAGAAAAGAAGAAATATAAAATTTCACCCGCAAAGGGCGTTAAGTCCAGATTTCTCTTTGCAGGCTTTAAAAAAGCAAACTACCAATTCATGATCACAAAATAAAATATGCACATTTAAACAAGCTGCAGGGGAAAGGAGAGTTTAATCCAGTGAAATTGTGTTTGAAAGCTATTTCATACCCCTAGGAATAAAATCTGAATAGCAATTCTGCTTTGCTTCCACCCTTTTTCCACCCTCCTGTTAATATATTACCATTTGTTATGGAATCGTTGTGAGACTTTTGCCCCAGCCGTGGCAGCATTTTGCTGAGGGATGAAGGACTTTGTGGGCCCGAGCCTCCTCTTGCTCCCAGGAGCAGCAGAAGTCAGTGGTGCTCCGAGGGAAGCGATGTTTGATTTGCACCTGAGCGGGGAAGGATCAGGCCCCGTCCTTTGTGCTCCCTTGGGGTGAAAGCCCCGACACAAAGGGGCTGATTTGGGCAGGCACAGCTCCCATCCTAAAGCAGGCTCTGATGGAAAGAGCTGCAACTCTCTGCCTCAAGAACTAGCGACTTGCAAGTGATGCTCTCAAAAAGCAAGGATGATTCAGGAAAGATTCGGCCCTGCAAAGATCAAAACGCGTTCGACATCATTTGGGTGTTGATGTGAAATAAAGTGGCTCTAAAAGTGGAATCGGAGAGCAGAAATCCCCATCATCACGCATAAATAGTGCCCCATTTATCCAATTACACTCCCTTGTTTCATTGCAATTCTCTGGAATATATTTCTTAGGAATACAAGGCTTAAAATTAATAATAGAAAAGGACAAAATTGCCACGTATATTTCTCTAGATAGATTTTCATCTAACAGCAGGACCTCACTTCTGATTCACTCGCTGGTTCTCTCTAACCTTTACATTATTCATTAATCAAACTCGAAACCTGCTTTCAAAGTCAATGCATGGCAGTAATTATTTACAGTTGTGCATAGTATTTAATTTTAAGCAATGACAAAAGCAGGCATGTCCAGAATCATAAGGCTTATCATTTTTCTTCCCTTGGAGGTGAACTATCTGAAGAAACTAAAAGTTGCAAACTTCTTTTCAATATCTCTGCTGCCATCAAGACAAAATGCAGTGCAACTGATACCTTTGAACTTGTACAACTAAAAATAAATAAAAGTGAAAATTAAGTAATATATAATATATTAACTCCTTTAAATAAAAGGACTAAGGAGCTTTGCTATCAGCCTTGATGAGAGATGATTTCTTATTGCACAGTCTGTCTCCTGTCACTTTGAGGTATTTTTCACCATACAAAACAGAACCTCAGTATTATCCCTGAAAATGAAAGTCGGTTTTAAGAACTATATACAACAGGCACGTCTGCTCTTTGAAACTCCCCCCTACCCCCCACAAACACACAAATACAACTTCAAAGCAGGAGAACTATTGCAAATGTATAAACCTACTTCAAATAGTTCTGCTGGCTGCAACTGGACTGCATTTGCAGGATTTTGCTCACCTGAAACAACATTGATCTGAGGAGAAATCTAATCAAAGAAATGCACCACTGAAGAGCAAGGCACGTTTTATAATGAGAACGAGAAAGGAGAGATCTAATTGTGGTCATACGAGTTTCTCCCTTGTCATTAAGATCTTAAAAATGCTGTAGGATCCTGGATAAAAACATCTCGTACTGTATCTCAGCAGGGAAATCCCGGGAAACAACAGCACGGGCTTTGCTCGAAAAGATTTACTTACTGTATCCTATGTTTCTAAAAAAGAACTCCGTGCCCCTGCCACGAAAAGATACTACACACATTCCAAGTGAAAATTCTACTTTGAAACCCAAATAAAATGACAGAGAGAAAAAAGGAGCAGTTCTAGCACTGTCACTGTGCCGATCAGCATCCATGAAAAAGCAGCTATTTATTTATCCTGCAAGTTGAAAATGTGAATGCCTTATTCAGATCAAACCTCTTGGTGGAGAAAATAATAATAATAGCGACTCTGACAGCAGAGGCCTCCCGAATACATACAGACATAGATATATATATTTATATTATATATATATATATATATTTATATAAAAATGTGTGTTGCTAGCAGAACTGTTATTTATGGCGATCACCATAAATTTGGGATCTTTGCCCGCCAGGAATCCCAGCCTGCATAGGTACATTCCCTGGGCACGTCCCAAAAGCTTCTGCCTGCAGCCCATTGTCCTGCACCCGAGGAAATGCAGCCAAAGCTGAGAGTTGATAAAAGTTCTGCGTGTCCCAGTTTCTCTGGGCTGACATTTCCCCTGCCTGGATCCCGAGCACTACTTCACAAAGTTTATTCAAGTGTGCCACCAAACTTGCCCATACGTTTTGTCCCACATTTGCCGTGCTACACCCAGGAAATCTTCACAAGGGCGAGGGAAAAATTTGGAAGTAAAGACATCAAATATGACTTTTCTTTAAAGAACTAATCCAAGGAAGGACACAAAGGGAAAAAAAGAAGGGAAAAAACCCGCCTACATTAAAAGCCAAACAAGATAATAATTGTGCATGTCTGGCTAAGAGAATCTAGAGGGCAAGCCTTACGTCATTGGCACTTGGGTTACCATGGTGAGTGATTTATTGATATATATCAAGAATGAATAGATCAAAGGCAGCAAGATGACAGGTGATCAATCAAATGTCAAATCAAAGCTGGCAATCAACTGGAAAGCTGATTTTTCAGTGGGTGGGTCTGGCAGAAGAAAAATGAACTTCCATATTGCGCTTCCCAGAAACAAAACCCCACCACACTATTAAAAAAAAAATAAAAAGCAATTAAGGAACCTGAAAGAAAACTCTTTGAAAAGATTTACTATACAGACCCACTCGTCTGTTTCTTTTTCTTAGCCCCCAAAAGAAAAAGAACACCCTACAATGACAAACAAAACACTTCCAAAGTTGCAAACTATTTTCTTCTGTTAAAAAAAAAAAAAATAAATTGCAAAACCGCTTGGCATGTGCAAATATATAAACTCGGCTAGGAAACAAAAGAAGGATTTGATTTGAAAACGTGGATTGTCTTCTAACAGTCAGAACGTTTCATTTTATTTCCTGTTGTAATTTTCACCACTGATGATCAAAGGCTGAACTTCCCCACCGGGTTCATCAGCAGAGAGAGTCCCTGTACTATTTCAGGCACACAGAGCGCTCCCTCACACACACACCCGGCCAGAGCTGCCACCAGAAATACGGCGAAATAAAAGATTCAACACCCCGACCCACTTCGCGAAACGCACGGATCCAAAGCGAAAGCCAGCGGGAGGGGGAAACCAGAAAGGAGAGGGGGAAAAAAAAAAAAAAAATCTATCCTAAAGCGAAAAGCGAAGGGAAGGCTGAGTGCTTTCGGCTGGGGCAGGGGGAGAAGGGGAGCCGGGGGAAGAAAGTTGGGGGGAAAGTTTGGGCCGGGCAGCGGAGCGGGAGCGGCGAGCGGGGGCAGCGGCGGAGGGCGAGCGGACAGCGGGCACGGAGAAATCCCGGCAGAAAGCAGAGAAACTGCCTCACAGACCTACGGAGGGAAAGGGAGGGGGAGGGGGATAAATAAATAAAGATCCAGCCCGGAAAAGCAAGGGTGACCCTAAATAATAATAAAGATGGGGGGTAGGAGTGGAAGGAGCGGAGAGACAGAGGCTGTGTAAGTGGATGGCTTCTCCTTACCTGCAGCCCGTTTGGGTGCTTGCTGTTTCCTCCTTGGCATCGCTCTACTTTCTCCAATCTCACTTCTGTCCCCAGATCCGAGAGCCCTGAGACGCTCCTGAGCCGTGTTCCTCTGCCTCTCAGCTGCTTCCCCAGCACCCCCCTCAAGCCTCCCCTGCCCCCCTCCTTTCCACTTCACTGATAGGAACCTGTTTGGTTTTTATTTTATTTTAGAGATCTAGGTTTCTTTCTTTCTTTCTCTCTCTCTCTTTTTTTTTTTTTTTTCTGGTTGGCTTTTTTTTTTTTTTTTTTTAACTGTTGCAACACTTGCTTTGCTTTGATTCAAACATCCAAGCTCAGGAGCAAATGAAAAGGCGCCCACAGTGCCAGAGAACGGTAATAAATAAATAACAAAATAGATCTGTATATATTAAAAAGGCAGCTCTGGAGAGACTGTGGGGCTGGCTGCTTCCTCCCTTCCCTGTCCTGTCCTCCTCCTCCTCCTCGCAGAGCCGTATGGCGGAGCGGTGTGCGCGGTGTGTGTGTGTGTGTGTGTGTGTGTGTGTGTGCGTGTGCGCGGAGCGGCGCAGGTTCCGTGCTGTCAGATGCCAGGCACTGAGTGATGTGGGAGCGGACAGGGGAGGCTCGGCACGGGAGAAACGTGGGATCCGCGCACACACACACGCGCGCACACGCGCGGGCACACGCACACGCACACACGCACACACACACACGCACACACACACACACGCACACACACACACACAGGCAGGGCGAGGCGATGCCAGCGAGCATCGATGCGCCCGGAGAACTGAACATTAACAAACTCCTCCTCCGCCGCCCGATGACAGGAGGAAATTTGCTCCGCGCAGCCGGGCGGCAGAGCCGCGCGTTAAAGAGACAGGGCGCCAGCGCCGGCCCCCGCGGGGACACCGCTCCCCACGCGGGGACACCGCTCCCCACGCGGGGACACCCCCTCCTCACATCGCTCCCCACGCGGGGACACCCCCTCCTCACACCGCTCCCCACGCGGGGACACCCCCTCTTCACACCGCTCCCCACGCGGGGACACCGCTCCCCACGCGGGGACACCCCGTCTTCACACCGCTCCCCACGCGGGGACACCCCTCCTCACACCGCTCCCCACGCGGGGACACCCCTTCTCCAAACCCCCTCCCCACGCGGGAACAGCTCCTCTCCACACTCTCCAAACCCCCTCCCCACACTTGGACACCGCCTCTCCAAACCCCTCCCCACGCGGGGATACCCTCTCCTCACACCGCTCCCCACGCGGGGACACCGCTCCCCACGCGGGGACACCCCCCATACGCGTCCCCCCCCCCGATGCGGGAGGACCATTCCCTCCATGTGCCGGACCTTTCCCCGCACACGCGGGACCACCCCCGCTGCGGGGCCGTCCCCTCCCCACGCGGGACCACCCCCAAAGCCCCACCGCAGGCGGGATGCGCTTCCCAAGGGAGGGCGCTGCGGGCAGCCGGGGCGGCAGCGTCGTCCGTGCCATCCACCCGAGACAGGCGGCTCGGGGGAAAAGAGGGGTGTGCAGCAAGGATCCCCGTGGGCACCGGCTGCAATCCTGCCGCTGGGCCGCCCGTGGGCACCGGCTGCTCCTCAGGTGTGCCCAGGGCTGGGGACCAGGGGATGCTCCCTCGGGTGTTCCCTCCTGCCATGGCTGATGACCATGTCCCTCCCATCCCTTCCATGCCCAGGGTGTCTCTCTGCACCCTGAGGTATCCCGGGTTGGACATGGAAGTTCGGTGAAGTTCAGGTGCTCCCCGAATTTCCCCTGGCGCCTGGATTTAGGGAGAGTCAGGTCCATCCATCAGGTGCTGCTGCAGCCTCATGGGAACCCAAATCTGTGTCCCCTCCAAGCAGCAGAGTTTGTCACTGTTTCAGAGCCCCACCAAAGTGCCAGGCCGAGGAGGGGCAGGTGGCACTGGAGCTTGGAACAGTGGTGGTCCTGAAGAGACAAATTCCTCTGCCCCATTTATTCTTTCAGCTTTAAGTTGGGGTCTTTTCCTCTAGCTGCTGTGACTACCTCGAGGGTTTAAATGTGATTTGGGCTGGAAAGGATAGACAAATTTCTATGTATTCAACTAGAATTTGTATAAGACCTTCTAAGAGTGGCTTTTCTGATACTCCATATCTCAAACCAAGAGGTTGCTGACAAACTGAGTTTTTACCTTTTTTTTTTTTTTTTTTTCTGTTTTGGCGTTTGACTCTTTCTAATGAAACTGTTGGGTTTAACAGGAATAATTTGCATCCCTCTCAAATATAATCTGTTACAAAGCACCAGCAAGAGCCACTGTGTTGTAGCCAGTGTCACTGGGCCATCTGCAAGGCACAGGCCTGCAGCCCCCAAGTGACCTTTGTGTTTAGCAGCCCAACACCAGACTGTGTTTGTGAAAGTGTCCCCCTAACTGCTGTCACTGAAATTATTTGATAGCCTTCCCTGTATGAACTCCAGCAATTTTTATATGCAATAACAAAAGTATTTATTGGTGCAAGCAAATGCTTCTTTTGAAAGATAAAATAGGAAAACACTACTATAAAATGCTCATTTTTCCATTTCTGCCTGGCATAACTCACCCAGGAGTGAACAGCTCTGCTTGAGCTGGTGGGAGCTGCGGGGATCTCTGGTACCTGTGTGCAGCAGGTGTAAAACCCTGCTCGTGCACACCACGAGGGATTTCCACCTTGTCCCCAGCCCAGGCAGGTGTAAACACAGGGCCAGGAGGGGCCACAGCAAGGGGACAATTCTCCCTGCCCTGGGATGAGGAGAAATGACACACTCCCTGCCTTGGGAAGTGCAGCCTGGATCAGGTACTCAGCACAGGGTGGCAAAGTGAGATTTTCCCTTCACGTTTCATCTGTCTTGAATTGAGATTTTGAACCTTCAGCTTCTGCATGTTGGTTCCCACATCAGAAAACTGCCCATACCTCTGGCTGCTTTTCTGTTTCCTCAGGAAGGTGCTGCACCTCATGGATTGTTTATTGTGAAGGATTGTGGATGAAATGCTGTTTAACCCAGTGATGTTGTAGTAGATTTGTCCCAAACCGTGGGACACGATGTGGCTGTTGGGACACCCGCCGGCACGAGAGGGTGGCAAACGAAGAGTCCTGTGGTATTTTAACCTCTCCATGTGCTGCTCCTGTGCGAGGTGCAGAGCCAGGAGCTCAGGCAGGGCAGCAGTTCAGTTCAGCTGCTCTGGGATCAGAGGAGCAGCTATTGTTCTCCAGAGTCGTGGCTCCGATCCAAACGTGCGCACGCCGGGGACGGGATTTGTGTCGGCAGCGCTCCACGTGCGAGATGAGACAGTCACTGCTTTAAATGGTTACTCCTTGGGGAAAGGGGAATTGAGAAGATGGACTTGTGAGTGGAGCAGGAGTGAGATGGCACCCTATCCTCGGTGATAAATGGGAGCATTAACGAGGCTTGGTCGAGAGGAACCCTACAGATTTATGGCTTCCTGTCTCCACCAGCAGATGCCATTATGGCTGACAGAACAGAATGCCTTTCAAGAGGGAACTGGGCTGGGATTATGAAGAAGGGGGGAAAAAAACAAGCAGAGTCTTGGTGTCCATTTTTATCCAGTGGTCAGAATTGGCTGATATGTTCAAATAGAGCTGGAACCACGCAGCGTGCGTGCGCTCTCTGCTCCTGTTATTTATAACGAAGTTGGTGAAGGTCATTTAGCATCTCTTTTAGCGCAGGAAGAACCCATAATATTTACTGAAAGCATTTTTGCACTCTTGAAAATTAGAGATAATAAAATGAACAGACAGCACTGGAGGCTTCCTTGGCTTATCCAATGGAATAATCTCGATGGGTGCTTAATGTTTACTTTGGAAATGCAGCAAATGATTCTGAAGCTATATTGAATTTTATCTATTTTTATTACATTGCAGAATAATATTTCTCTTTCCTGACAAAATGTTATGACCAGTAATAGCAATGGCAGTTATGCATGTTCAAAAAAGAGTAATCAAATCTCATGCTTCAGGGCATGAGCTGAATTCCCCACTGGGATCCAGAAGGAATTTTTTTTCCCCCAAATATAGCAATATACAATCAAGTAGATATGTTCTTAGAGGATTTTCAATTTCTTGGTTAGGTGCAGATTACATGGAGCAAGAGTGTGACCTGGGATTGTGAAAATCCTCTCTTGCTGTAGTTTTGGTCAGGTTTTGGTCCGATTTTTCAGTCTAATGTTTGTGATTTGTTGTGCCTTACAAGAAAGTTTACAGCCACTTCTGTGGGCAATAAAGGGCCAAATGCTCTTTGTGTACCTGACTCTGATAACAGTTCCCACCCATGTAGTCACAACAAGCTCAGCTCTGTGACTTGCAGTGTTTTATCTTACTTATTTTTGTTGTCTGTCTTACAGTGACTGTTCTGCTGATAATTAAACGTGGACATTGTTTTCTTTCCTTCCTTTTTGTTCCCATCTAGAAGTTATATATACATAGGTACACAACTCCTCTTGAATGAAATTCACAGTGTCGATGACCCCTTTCACGCTTTCCCTACCACTGTAGAGAAAGAAAAAGTGGAAATTCTGATAAATCCTGCAAAAAAAAAAAAAGGAAAGGGTTAGAAATATTTGACTTGATAAATAGAAAATTTCAGTATGGCATTGTCAGCCTCAGTGTTTTCTTTTTTTCTTTTTAGAATTATTGGAGGAAAATTGTTTTAATAAGGATTCGGGTTACAACGATTTTGAAAGAATCAGCTTGAGGATAGACTGAGGATTCTTTAGAGAAAATAGAGAGCCCTGTAGATCTGTTGCAGTCCCTGCCTAGGAACAGCTTTAACTGTGCTCATTCCATTGAGGCACATTTGACCAACACGATGCAGATCCAACAGCTCCTCTGGGCAACCTCTTCCAGTGGCTTTACCATGGAAAAATGTATCCTACTGTTGGAAAATTGATTATTTTGAGGGCTTTCTCAAATAAGATGGAGAAGAGTTTTTTTCCCTTCCTCTTGGAGGCAGTTTTTACCATCTTTGCAGACGTATCACCCCTACTCCCCAAACCATCCCCTTGCGCATCACGTTCCCTGGCCCTGGCCCTCATTTCACTGCTCCGTGGCTGGACAAGGTGTGATTTGAGGTGCAGTGCCCAGCCCTGCCTGCTGGATTGTGTTCTCCACCTCCCCAGCAGCGAGGGGATTACTTCACATGTCTAACACATGACACTGCTGTTCAGCTGTCCCAGTTTGACACCCGCCCTTTCTGCAGCAGCATGACACCGTTGACTCACGGAGAGCTTCTGATTCAGTGCAGCCCCAGCTGCTTTCCTGCAGAACTGCTTTGTAATCAGTTGTCCCCATCCTATATTTGAGCAGTTGATTATGCATCAGTGACAACTTTGCACTGATTCATCTTGAATTGCATCCTATTTTTTCCGAGTGTTCCTGCAATTTGTCAGGCTCGTTCTGGATTACAATGCTGCCTTCAAAGGCTGCTGCCGTCCCCCCTGGCTCGGTACCATCTGCAGATCTGCTGCTCAATATTTGCTGTTCCACCTCCTGAGACATTAATAAAAGTGTTGGATATCGCCAGGCCCAGGACACACTCCAGACATTATTCCAGCCTGACAATGGGCCGTGAGGGGATAATTCTGGAATGTGATTTTCCTACCTCTTCCAACCCCCTGCAAGTCATCTGGAGGATGTGTCACTCAGGGAACAGGGACAGGACAAGGGGAAATGGCCTCAAGCT